TTTTAAAAAAAGCCAAGCATTCACCAGTCGGTTCAAACAATGTTGCTGGTTCAAAATCCCCATTTTGGGAATTGGGTCAAATGAAAGCACAGTTTGTTGGTTCAAAAAATCACCATGTTTCTTCAAACGCCCGAAATGGTGCACCTCTGCAATGGGTCTGGGCGTCACCGGTTGAAGTTCCGGCCTCACAAAAATGGCGCCCAGTCAGCTGTTAAGAGGACAAAATTGCAGAAAATGGATGTGAATTGTGGTTTTGTGTGTTTTACATGTTTTATCATTGCTGTCAGGAGCTTCCTGTAACTTTTCTCTCCCAGTGAAATCCCCCATGTGTATCCATTTGTCTGTTGGTACCATCTTCAATGTTCATCATATCCATGGCAGATACTGAGCATGACACATGCCAGGATCGGTTTCATCTGAATCCTGGAGACGAAGTGGCAAGTCCTATGGAAATCCTCATTTGTTGATGGATTTCCGTTGATTTCCGTTGCCAAAATGAAGATTTATAGAAGCAACAAACAAGAAGTTGTGATTCACTTGTGATCAACAAAAGATGGAGTAGTCTCAATGAATTCATTAACGATACCCTCTGGTAAACTAACGTAACTATGGAAAATCACCATTTTTAATGGGAAAATCCACTATAAATGGCAATTTTCAATAGCTATGTTAGTTTACCATATCAGTGTCAACAATGGAGAGTTCACCAAAAAAACTGGGTGGTTTTTTCAAAAAGTCGCAGTACATGAATGAAGATATCTGGTTGGTGGTGCAATGTGCCCATCTTGAAAAATGATGGAGTTCGTCAATGGGAAGGATTATCATGATTATCCCATATATGAAATGGACAATAAAACATGTATCAACATGTTCCAGTCACCACCAACCAGATATGATTTTGATCCCTGAGAAGTTAAGATCTTCGGAGAAATTCAGCCATCGCAAGATGTTATAGTCCTCTGCAGCGACTGCTTCTCGTTCCGCTGCACCTGGAAGGCAATTCTTTGGTGGCAGAGAAGTGGATGGTTTTCCCAGAATTTTGAATGATAATGAGGATTCACCAAACATGGATAAACACCTGGATAAAAATGGTGGATAAATATAGGGTCAAAGTTTGAGATCTGGGAATCACAACAGTCCTGGTGACTCGGATGGTGATTTGAGCACAATTTGAGCCCGACATTCTGTGGACAAAATTGGAAACGGCATTGACCCCTCCCCCCCAAAAAAAATAAGGTGGTTCAAGTCCTGACTGCTCAAATTGTTAATGTTATCTAACCCTTGAAGGGTTTACTGCAGGTTATGCTTGTGGTTTATGTGCTCAATAAGTTGTCCATTCTTAATTCTATCCCTTTCTCAACTGGCTTATGAAATCTAATTTGTTGCGGCTACCACCATCTGTGACACCCTTGTTGCACCTGGTCTTTCAGGCCTTCCAGCCTTTACCTGCGGATTGCGTTGCTGGGCTGACCGGCTGACCCAACAAAACGGGAATTTTGGGTCCCCAGAGTTTCACGATGTTTCACCCCCACATCTACATAGATGTAGAAGAATATGGTGTAAAGCAATGTAAAACATAGAATCGAAAGCAAGGCCTGAGGGATTTGAGGGGCCATTCAAGCATCCTATATTCAGGGTTAACTATAAGTTATACATAGTTACACTATGTTACACTATAAGCCCTTATTCTTGGGAGATTCTTAGCTTTGGTCGGGAAGCCGACGGATTTTCACTTCTGCAAGAGCCCCTGGATTTGCACAGACGCCAACAACTGTCCGTCACGCGCAATGCACTTGTGAGTATGGCAGGATCGAATGGATGATATGGATGTGCATACAACCGCGTCACTTCCCCAGTCAAACCAGAGAAACTCAGCAGCATAGCATCGTGACAAACAAAATCTAGTTGCAACAAAAAGGTCTCGACGTAGTGGCACAAGTCCCTGGTTCTGTAGACAGCGGGTCTTGTCTAGAAATCTTCGGCAAGTAGCAGCACAGCCATCCCACAGCATAACCACCCACAAGCCGCAACCCTCTGCAACCGCATTGGAACGACTCCGTGCGGAATGCGCAGAGGTCGACCGTGTATGGATTTTGCTGGCTGGATCAGTGGCTCTACCACGCTGTATCTATATAATCCATTATAAACCTATATTATATATATATAGAGAGAGAGATGTATGGATGGGGAAAGCTGGAAAGTGCATCCTGATGGAGGGTCAAAAATGCGGCACTTGGGAGAGGGTCAGGTGACAGAATTGGTGTGGCAGGACTGCAGACGAACATGATGCAACAGGGCGAATAGCAATAGGAAGTGACACCTGTACAGCCTGTAGATATGGAATCACATGGATATATCGGAAACTTGTGAGGTTCAAAATTACCATCCCATGGTTTATTAAACTGTATTTCACCTGAAAAAAAGCAGAAATGATCTACCTTGTGGGTCCATTCTTAACGTGACATGACCCACCAAAATAGGGTACCAATAGGATACCAATTGGGCTGCTCCAGTGATTTTCCCAACCACAACCATGGAGTCATGGGGGGATTCCCCTACTACCCACCTAAAAAAAATGGGAATCCCAGCCTCCTGGCTCTTTTCGCCAGTCACCACTGCCGCCTGCGCGCCGTATCCGTGATTGACCCCATCAAATTCCAGGAGTATCCTATTTTCAGACATTGTTGCCATATGTTGCCATATTTTTTGGCTGTAAATCGCCAGTTTGTGGTAATCAAACCAGACCATGAGACCCTTTTTTTGGATTCCTTGTGTTGCCTGAAAATCATGAAATCAGCCATGGCCAATCCAATATGATGCTGTTGGAATGACCTAGTTTTATGCAACTGTAATCAACTGTATACCATATAATGCATGGAGCACTCGGCAATGGATACAGATTCCATAGTGACAAGCTGTGGAAAGCCCTGAGGCCCTGAGTCCCAGTCACAATCCTGGCCAAAATATGGTCCCAGAGCTGTGCTCGCGGGGCGGAAAGAATGTGGACCGTACCCAATCTGGCCATCGAATGGGCCCATTGAAAAAACCATGTAGGTCCATGTCCAATCTGAAAAATCTCTCATAATGTCAACCCCGGATGAGACTAAACCATGGTTTATGACAATTAGGGGGTACCCTCCAAATAGTCACTTTAGATGGTACATAAATGGTACCCCCCCAATTCAACAGCCGTTTGGGGTTCATTAATCCAGGGTTGACATTATATGATATCATTTGTATCATTTGTCAATCCCAATTCTTTGCTTCACAACATCCTAAAATATCCAGTCACATCCGGCCCCATCCCATGAACAAAAAACCTCCTCCAAAAAGTTGCGAAAGGAACTTTGCCGTCTGAGGCGGAGCTCCTGTGGCTTTTTCGAAGTCAGGTGGCTATCAGGAACAACTTTAGACCGCAAAAAAACACATATTTGGGGTAGGAAATTCCCCAGTATCAGCACGTATATTAACCATCCATATACCATCCATAATCATAAAGTGATGCATTCCGATTTTTCTTGACCCGACTCAAAAAATGACGACAGGTTTTTTTCGGCGCTCCCGAAACTGGAGGAGCTCCGTCTTGAACTGTACCAAACACCTGGCAGTTTTGAGGTTGCCAAACAGATCTGAAAATGTTGAAAACACCCAAGAACGGTGTTAAAAGGACCAAAGTAGGAGAAATGATGAGAAAAATGGGTCAAATAATTCTAGTTCCATTGTTTTTCCGGTGTTTTTGTTCAAATTCCCAACTTCCAGGATGAGAAAAGGAAGTGGAAACAGCAGCAACACGATGCAGGACTTGGCAACTGGGATCAACTGGGATGCTCGGGAGAGATCTTCCCAATCAGGTTGTCCCAGTTTTACCAGTTTTAGTGGATCCCGAGCAGCAGATGGCAGCAGATCTTGATCTGATGGCCAGCTGAGGGTCTGGTAAGCTCCAAATTTCTTGCCAGCTCCACGACTGTAGGTCTGCTAAGCTCGTGCATGCGGCATTCCCTGGCGAAAGGTCCGAGCAGGAGGGAAAGACGGTAAAACATCACAGCACATGGGGATATATGATATATATATATAATATATCTATACCATACTGACCAATATCAATATGTATCTATACACATATCATCACATATATACGTATATATATATATATACGTATATATATATATATGTATATATATATATATTTTTTATCAATATGTCTCAATCATGGTGAATCACGGTAGAATGGGACGTCATCGCCTGGACAGCATCCGTCCGCACTCCAGGAAGAGGTCATGGTGGCGTTGGCGCGGTCGTTTTTAGACGTTGCAGATCAGGCCATGGTTGCGTCTGAGGGGCCAAAACTCATGGGATACAAACTGAAAAGTGGGGAATTCATGGTGAAATCATGGTGAAATTCATGGTGAAAGCAAGTGGAACCATGAAATCATCAATTTAATATCTGCTGTTTCTTGATTCTTGTCAAAATCTGCAGGTCAAGTGGTGCCAAAAAATTGGCTGCTAGATGCTGCTAGCCCTGCTCGAGTGGTGGCTACGTGGGTCGGGCTGTTCTTGGAACATGTGTCACCACTTGGTCTGGAGCCAAACAGCGACGTGGCCCTTCATCAGCAAAAGGTAGGAGTGGTCCACAAACCAAGCTTTGATGATGTTTCGTTTATTTTGGTTTTGCAGACCATGAACACCATATGGGTGTTTCCATGTTTTTCCTATGTAAACATTGGTGTTCAACCTCCGGAACTGTCATTTTTTCAAGGCTTGTTGTGTGGCTTCATTTGGGTACTGGATTGTCTAGAGGCTTGACCTGTACGAGCCGAAAAATTACCAACTTAACCACCTATCTGGATTTTCAAACTAACTACATGTTATTATATTAAAATATGATAAAATATGATATATATATATATATATTGTATATATACATATTTGTATGCATGATGATGCATGTTCCTTCCAGTTAGCCTGAAAAGATCTGAAAAGCCTCAGCTGGGTCTCCCAGCCCGAAAAATGGCATCCGCAGCCGCACTGAAGCCCCAGCGCTGGGCGATCTGGTTGGGGCTTCACGCGTTTTTTTGGGCTGCGCTTTTCCAATGGTTTGAACCGGAGCAAAATATGACAAAATCACATCAGATTGCGTTAGATCACTGGGGGATGCCCATTTCTGGTCGTTTGGACGCAGTTTTGTTAGTTGAACTTTTCGGATCAATTCGGAGCCTCACCCAAGTCAACCGTCATTTTGCTTCGCTGTGCTGGAGAGTTTTGCAACATTGGTTCGAGTACCCAGATAAATGACGTGCTTAAACACCTCAGAACTGGAATATAACCACCTCCATTTCGTAGTTCATATCGGAAACACTGGTAAATCATCCCAAAATGATCTAGATGTATGCTTGTGATACATGAGTATGATCCTGAAAACTATCTTGCAACCCCAGAAATGATGTGGAAGATGATGGTCCTGTCGAACACGGCGAAACATGCCAAGTGATTTCGTGGCAGGGCACAGCACCAAAACGATGAAAATATTCTGCAATAAATCACTGGATCAACTCCAGCTTCGCCTGCAACGCTGTGAAGCCCTCCGAGTCTTTCAAACTCTTCTGACACAACGGCAGCTTGCAGAGCGCTGCACAAATCTGCGCGTCAACAAGACTGGGTTTGAAACAGTCAAGGTTGGGTTGAACTATGTTGAACTAACATCCTTTTGATCCATCCATCTCCGGCGGAAGTTTTTCTCTCCCAGGTGATTTGAGTGACCGTCCAGTTGTGACCTTCCGAGACAGTATCGCCTCACCACTGCCTGCGGTGGCAGCGCGATGCAGCGGCCTGGGTTCATCACCCCACCGGCATTCCACCCCACCAGGACCAGAACAGCTCTGAGGTCCCTGGCGTCTGGCCCCGATAGTCCAGTTGGAAGAGACTTTCCTGGTCCTCCACACCAAAAAAAACACATTTCACCGGCATGGGATTCAAGGCATGACACATGATGATCCAGATTTTTCAGATGTTCACCATATTTCATCATATTTATCACTTTTTTTTCATGAATTTTGACCCAGATTTTTACATGATGGATTTCACCATACACCCACCATTGGGGGGAGATCCTCTTCGGTTTCATCCAGCACGGCCATTGCCAGGCGATACATCCCGCGGGAACAGGCCTTGGAAGATTCGGGGACGGTTGGACAACGGGCAGGTGGAAATGTGGAAACACATAGAAAGTTCCCAGTGTTTCATGGGAAAAACATGGGAAAAACATGGAACATCCCCAGAGTTTTCATGGGAAAATCATGAAAACCTATGGGAAAACACACGTGTTTTTCCGATGGGAACATCATCTCGAAATGTGTTGGTTTATGTGTTATGTTCATGGAATTTCCAGCCAGGTTCTAAGACTGGAGGGTATATACAATGTCATGTTGATACATGGTATACATGATGATTCAGTGAAATGGAGGGTTTCATACTAAGAATGGTTCCATGGGATTCCATGGATGCCACATCTGTGGATCCATATCTCAAGGTTTTGGATCATCCCCACTTTTCTTGCTTTGAATTTAAGGGAAGTATGTCAAGATATGTCAAGATATGTCTTGCATGTTCAAGAAAGATAGGAAGATTCAATAATAGTGATCCACTATAGGAGGAAAAACATGGAAACACATGAAAGAATCAAGCTGTCGCCAAGGCACTTCATGCAGAAGTGTCGAGCCATACTCATCGGTGGCCACCAACACATCGAGGTGGCCACGCATCTGATGTTACGAGGAAACGATGACATAACGATGACATAACGATGACATATGGGGAGATTTACCTTAGCAAATGGGGACATCTCATGCATAGCGATTTGTTAGAGCTGTCCAAACCTCGGCTTATGAAGCTGACAGGCTGACAGCTGGTCTCACTTTTCATGGCTTGGGAAGTATATGGCTTGGTACTGTCCACCGTCCAACCATTGAGATGTGCTAAGCTTTGGTGGCTTTGATGGCTTCCAGCTCCATCGATATTCCATTGGTTTTATTTGATCATGAACCATGAAACCACCCGGCATTGATCAGCCGCTCAGTAGTGTTGGTTTCATCTCAGTTCATTGTACAACCAAACCAAAAAAAAACCTGGTGTCAGTTGCCCATACATTATCAAGATGGTAATTCTAGGCTCAACATGGTTCAACATATTGTTGGTGTGTTTGGCACTTGCACATCACCTGTGCTCTACCCCCTGCTGGGGCTGATGATTCCCCTGGTGAGAATTGTTTTCGGATAAACCGATCTAAAATGATCCGGTTGATCCTTCCACATTTTGATTAGATACCTCATCCATCTAATCTTCCTCCAATTCACTCATCACCTATCATTTTCCGGGTCTATGTCATGAAAAATTGTCGTTAAACCCCCCCATTTCGCCCATGAAAATCATGGCGCCTCCTCCAGACAGTCCAAGGCATCGTCTTCATGCGCCATGTTCACAGCCTGTCAGAAGATTTGGGTTGAAAATCTCACTGGATTGGTTTGAGGGAAAATCTACAGGAAACCATGGTTTTTACCATCAAATATAGGGCTTTCCTGTAAATTTTCCCATCATCCAATTCTATGAAAATCTTGGGAAAGCCCAGCTTTGTATATGGGGATATGAGAACAGAATCATCAGAATGGGATAATCTCGGATATACAGATATACCATGATATACCTATGTTTTGAGAAACCAATGTGAGAATTGATGACATCGGGATATACAGCCAGGAAAGATGGGATTCTGGGATGGATTAGCAACAATGATGGGTTTAGATATGTTTGGACCATCAGAAAAGGGCGATATGAATCACCAACAATGATCTCTGTTGGTTCAAGCGGAAAACAATCGCGAATCGGTGCTTGTAGCTAACCATGAGTCTTTGGGTTCTGCTTGCGCCACTTGTTCCGAAACACGGTTGGTTAATGATTTGGAACCTCCAGTTATGGTTTCCAAGCAGGACAAATGCTTGCTTGACAATAGCAATTTTGGGTATGATTCCTATCACATTATCACAGGGCATACCCTCTGGTAATTTAACAGTTTGCTATTGAAAATGGTGGATTTATAGTGGATTTTCCCATTGAAAATGGTGGATCTTTCCATAGCTACGAAGCTCAGGTGTACCGAGGTCAAGACTTGGATGAGATCATGGCGCGCTTCTAAGCATCTTTCCTGGCATCGACTCCGATCATGATGCAGCCCTTGTTTTTCCGGAACAGGGAGCCGCAAAAGCTGGGAAAGACAGAAAAACTATGGAAAAACCTATGGATTCCTGAAAGACTAAACACCAAGCCAGAAAGTTTGAGGATTAAAAATTCAATCCTACAAGGACCCACAGATTCGGAATATATCTAGAGTCCAAGCATCCAATAAGAAAGCGATCATTGCGATCATCCAATCATCCCCTTATCCTTGGTGGCCACCTGTACCTCCAACCGTGTGTCAAATCATGGGTTATATATATATTATGTATTATATTGCATTATGTACTATATTGTGGCCATACTTATACTGTAGATGTTTAAAAGTTGGCAAGGTAGTTTATAAACCATTCCAGATAGCGACGTGGGAAACCCAACAATGAACCAAACTGAATGTGATTGTTTGGAGATTGATAAACCATTATCGACTACAGTCAAATATGGTGCATATCCCAACACCATTATGGTAGCTCAACATCAACATTCTACTTTTGTTCAGCTAGTTTGTGAACATCAAGGGCAATATCAACCAAGATGGATGGTAATCCCAGTGGATAACCCACCGGTCAGACCTTCTTCAGCCTTAAGGCCTTCTTTTGCTTCAGCGCCTGGCAGATGATGGTTACATTGTTATATACCCCATGATATTCACATTTAGATTTAGATCCCTCCATATTTTATTTTATTATATTATATTATATATTATATTATATTATATATTATATTATATATTATATTATACATTATATTATATATTATATTATAGATTATATTATATATTATATTATATTATTATATTATATATTATATTATATATTATATTATATATTATATTATATATTATATTATATATTATATTATATTATATATTATATTATATTATATATTATATTATATTATATATTATATTATATATTATATTATATATTATATTATATATTATATATTATATTATATTATATATTATATTATATTATATTATATTATATATTATATATATTATATCATATTATATTATATTATATTATATTATATATATGGTTGGTGGTTTCAACCCCTCTGAAAAATATGAAAGTCAGTTGGGATCATCATTCCCAATATGTGGAATAATAAAATTGATGTTCCAAACCACCAACCAGATATGTATAGATAATTACCATTGATATCCCCGGCATATCACAGCCGGCCTCCTGCGCCGCTTCTTCCTCTGCCTGCCGCTGCAGCGTACGCTCCAGCGCCGCCTGGCGTGACTTGGCCACGGATTCCTGGATGGCGCGCATGGCGCGGTGATTTTATGGCGATAAAAAGGGCTGGATTCTCCCAATTTTATGGTGGGATTTTCATGGTGATTTCCAGATTTTAGGGTGAATTCTATAGTGATTCTGGGGGATTACCCCAATTTAGGGTGATTTTATGGTGATTTGCTGGTGAGATTTCCCGAATCTGATGGTGATTTCGATGAATTGTGCTGGGGAAAGTACCTAAAAAATTGTAGCCATGTGTGGCAATGCAAAATTGCAACTTCATGGCAGTTTTCAAGAAAAAACATATATGATGTTGTTAGATGGTTTTTTCTGATATGGGACGATAGCTTGTTTCATGGCTAGTTTGATGGGTTAAATGATGCCGTCCCAGTCATATCTGGGCGGTTGATGTGAGGATTCTGAGTGTTCTGCTGAAATGTGTGGAATTTGTTGATCTCGCAGCCAAATGCTATGCTGCTACGTGAGGCCATGGAGTAAACTCCGACTAAAATGATGTATCTCAACGGATCTCATGGGTTTTCCATTGCAATGTTTGATTGAGGTATCAAATTGTTAGTTTCTTTGTTATTGTTCAATCCGGCTTTCTCAGCTACCATGTTGAACCAAAAGTCCGTTGGCTGTACCCTGAATGTTGTGCAGCCCGAGCTATCTGAAAACGGGATATGTCCCCAATCTATGGCAACTTTGACAGGGAAAATGATGATTAACCACTAATAGGGTTTAGGAGGCTACCCTATGTTCAGAGAAACATAGAGAAACCCATATCCACATCACTGCCGGATCGCCACATTTTCCGACAATCGATGAAGATCGCACGAGTTTCAGCGATCAGCATTAGCTTGACGCGCGGCGCCCATAGCACCACGGTAACATTCCTGGCGAGTGGCATGGTCCTCAAATTATCATCCCAAAAAGAAAAGGATGAGGAAATGAACACTGAAACCTGTGCAATGTTATAAAGCGGCGATCATTCACAGAAACTTGCCAGATTCCAAAATGATTGCCAACTTTTTTGTGTTTGCCAACAGGGTGTCACCATCAATCGCGCAACTTTCAGGCAGCTGCTCCGGCACGGGCACCTTAGATCAGCAGCAGTTTCTTCAGATGGCACACGAAGGCATAGTGTCTTCCGTTGCACACCTGATCGGCCAACCACACCTGGCGCCGATGAAAAACGAGGTTTAGATGATCACTGAAGGGGTAGAATCCTCCAGCATCCTCTATGTACCCATATATATATAGTAACTAGTATATAATCTATATAGTATATTATATATATACACATTACATATGTGTGTAATGGTGATTGTAGGGCTTCCACCCAGTTGCTGAAAGTTCACTGACTTCAGGGTTTGTCCCAGCACAAGCACTTCTAGTTGGAGTGTGATCATCAACCTCCATCAGAATTCATTCAGACCACACCAGTTCTTGGTTCGAGCAGAATCCTCTTTGTCACTCAGTTCTTTCATGGGAACTACAATTACCATCAAAATATACCACCCAAATGGCCTTTTCTTAGGGCCATAGGGAAAATGATGACCAGTGAACCGAGGGGTACATTTCACCACCTGTTCTGAGGAGTTGATCTTGATCTTCACTTCACAAGACACGAATGAACGAAGGGCCACATACTGGGACTCTTGTACCCCAAACTTGGATCAGTACGGGTTTCTCTAGAACTGGGGCATCCCGCAGGCATCCCTCGTCATTTTCCCCATGAAAAAGGCTGTAGAACAGGGCCTCCCCCATCATTTTGACAGAACCCCATACAGCACCGTTGCAGAGACTTGTCAAGGCGGCTTCTTTGGTGTTTAAAACTGTTTAGTTCCATGCGGTCCATGCAACCAAGATGCTGACAGCGCACCCTGTCCAGCATAGCCGCCCAAGTCTCCGACAAAGCACCACCTGAGAGTCATTCTTGATCAGCGAACTTGGATAAAACCTAACTAAGATGTTGGTTTGTTCAACAAAACTCCACAGCATGAATTTGCTCCAAAACAAACACGCACAAATGAAATGCACAATCTTATCTCCTGCTAATTGTAGTTGCAGCATTTGTTGCAGGCAGGACACAAGTTGTAGGCAGTGTATCTATGCTCTTCCGCGATTTTCCAATCAATGAACTTGGCAGACCTTGGCTCCCGTCTGAAAAGTTTAGTCATCCGCCGAGCATGTCCCGGCAAACAAGCGACTTGATGTGGGAGAAACCCAAAATTGGATATGACTCCGCAAACTGGAATCGATCGATCTTATCTAACGAAAGTTTATGAGGATTGTTTCTTTAATCATTTCTTGTTTGGTTTAGAATATACTGAGAAATCTTAGTGAGATATAATGATCCTGTACCAAAATAGATACTGTGAAAAAAAATGGAGGTAAACTATTGGGATATATTGGGAAAACCAAAATGCCAACTATTTATATAATAAACGACCAAAAGTTATGGTTTATTGTGATAGATCTAACTGTGACAGGATGACCTTGTTGCATCCCAAAAACATTCCTATGATATTCCAACCTGCAAGTCAGCTGCCCGGTTGAACCGCTGAGATCAGCTACAGTCCATAGATGAAGCCATTTCCGAAATTGGCAATGAAGGCTGCCTTGTTGGTTGCGGTTGCGGTTGCGGGAAAACATATGTGTATGACCAGCAATTATTGGGATATGACACGAATTGATGTGTGATGTCAGTGATATCACGGGAATTGAGATGTTTGTCTATTGACATGTATGACACTATTGGAATGTATAGAATCTAGATGTGTCTAGATGTATGTGTAAGTATGCTCCAAACAGCGGGATCCCAAGAACAGCCAATGAAATTGTATGAAAATCACATTCAAACCTTTTATCCCATACAGTTGCAATGGTGAAGAAAGGTAGTCCCACAATGGATCATGATATTGATAAGCTAACACACTACGTCGCATCCCAGACAACCGATGGAAAAAAACCCTCGATCTCCACCGTAATCGCAACCAGACCTTTCTGAATGCAGTTGGGATATCAGCTCCGTTTCAGTTGCAACCATTATGAATCACGTCTTTCAACAAACTTTAGGAATCAATGAGAATTGGATATCCCAATAAATCTCACAAAAAATAGCAATCACATCTCAATACATCAACGTTTCGGAATGAACCTCCTGAAGCCAAGTCACCACCACAGTGACCAAGGCAAGTAGGAGAAAATCCAACGCCTACCGGTGGAAGGGGCTGGTATCCATGGACCTAAGCATCATGATCTTAGTTGAAGCAAAATATGGCTCCAAGATGAATGGATGACGAGATCAAACCAGCCAAAATGGTAAGATTTGGGAGGGGCCGTAGCCAATGAAAATGGCTTGATAGAATCGACCTAAGTGCGGTTGTGCTATGTCGTGTCATTTTGGATGCTTTTGAGGACAGGAACATGGGGTTGGTTCATTCATCCATCATCGTGTCTTTGCCTCCAAATAGTACTTATATAATATATATATATATATATGTATATGTATATATATATATATATAATGGCAAGCCTAAAATAGACCCACTGTTTAAAGGTTTATCATTAAAGATTGGCAAGGGCAAACCAAGGTTTGCTGCCTATTGTCCACTTATATTCGTATGATTAGCCCCAATCAAGGTCTACCAACCCCTCCAATCGTTGCACCTCGCCCACGACGCACATGACAATTGATATGGCCAGATACCTAACCACGAAGGCAGAGTTTGCCTAGAAGTGTGGTGCTTCTTTGATGATATCTGATGTAGATAGCCCAAAATGGCCATGTTGGGAAAGTGATGTTCCAAATCTTTCCAAAGTTTGGGATTTTTGGGTGCCCTACTTCCAGTGATGTTCATCCGCAGCTTGAGGCCCAGACGTGTAGCACTTCCAGTTGACCCTGAGGCTTGGTGGCCAGATAGATCTCTGTCTTCCAGTTATGGTACCAAAGTGCACCTTTAAACAATTAAGAAAAATAAATGAACCTCAAATGATCCACCTGTTCCCAGCCAATCTGTTGTCCAAAGTGTGCTTACTGCTGACCTATCCACCCTGCTACAAATGTTGCGACTTTTACTAGGGCATCTTGGTGCACAGCCCTCAATATTTCAATGTTGAGCCCGAACAAAACTGCCATCATCTTCCAAGTGCACATGTTTCGCGGGATTCAGGCTTCTGTTCACACATGTCGCACATCCTCAATGTTGTTTTGTTCAGTCGGTTAGCACCCACTTTATTTCCAATTTCCAATGCCTCACCGTATAGCTACCCTGCAAGACTATTGAGTGCAATCTGAACTATTCATTATAGATCCTTATAGGTGATTTTTTATTATCATTTTCCCAATAATTAATATACATTTTATACATTTAGGTGATGTTCAAAACCTCTGGTACCCTCTGGTAAACCTACACATGGAAAATCACCATTTTTGCATGGGACAATCCACTCTAAAAAGTTCATGTTCATTTTCCCAATCGTCAAAAAGCCTCCATCGATGCTCATTTTGCTGGCCATTTCCAGGTCCCTTTTCGGCCGAACCCTTTCCAGGTCCAAGTGACGTCACGTCCAGGAATTGCGGCACGCGACGGCTGATGGTATCGCCCGCGGCCATGGCTGGGAACCACAGCAGGGCGGTGTACAACGTGAACCTCGGAAGCATGGAATATCTGCCGAATGGGGAAAAAATGCTGGGAAAAACATGGAAAAAACCATCAACAAATGGGATCAAATGGGGATTTAACATGATTCTTTTAGGGATTGATCATTGGATGTGCTGACTCATTGATGTTGGAAAAATCGTTGGAATTTGGAACAGGCTGGCTGAATAGAGATGACTTTTCAGTGGTGAATCTCCAAGCCTGATGAAGAACATGTTGTAGAAGCAATCATGCGATCCAATGATTTGTTCATGGCCAACCTTATCCAACCTTAGCTGCCCTGCAAAAACAACAACGTACCATGGCATATTGCATTCCTCCAGTTGTGGCAACCAAAAAAAAATCGTTCCCAGTCAAGTCCCCCAACCAATGTCTTGGGAGTCTCCAAATGATGTCCGAAACTGCATGGATGTGTCTGAAAATGGCGAATGATCGCACTTACTTGCCCATTTTTCATGGGGAATACAATGAGGAATCTATCTATTTAGGATTATAAACGCAGTTTTTTGGGATTGCAAAATTCAACCTGTGTTGGGTAAAACTGATAGTTTTTTCTAGATGAACCAAGGTGCGGAATCAAATGTTCGGTGCTGTCGGGGGCTCCAATGATAGGCACCTGCCGGATGGTGGCGAAAGTTGATCTAGGGTTCATGTGAAACCCAAATTGGTTATCATCCTAGAATACATGTATTTATGTAAATACCAAATGTATAAATATATAAATATACCATATAATATTATACATATACCATATAATATTGTATAATATATATATATAATATTATATATATATATGAATGATCCAATTGGCTCTAATGGGACTGGATGTTGGAGAATGGGTTGTGATCACATAACATTGTCGGTGGATGTTGGATTCAATTTATCCAAGAGAGTGAATTTAATCTAAATCCAATGGGTTTAATTTATCCCATGGCTGCAATATTGTACACACTACTATGGTTAATTCATCAAACATCTACACATATACAATAGCAATGTTGCCAAAGATTATGCAATGTATGGGATAAGATTGATTAATATGAGGAAATCATTCCTGATGGTTTCGATTGTGTTCGGGCTGCCCGAAGAAGTCATCAACCAAGTGCTTAGATTTTCATTCATCTGAGGTTCCAAAGACCATATTACAATTGAAAATGAAGGCACTTTGCAGGCTTGAGCTGACTTTGGTTGAAGGTTGTACCGAAAAAATGGGATGTTCTTCAAGTCTTTACAAAGAACCAATGTTGCGCTGCTGCGTTCTTCGATCCTTTCCACTATTATCCTTGGCTTGATCAAGACTCAGTTTGCTGAAATCCCAGAGATTTCAGAACATTAATTACATTTCAGAACGATTGACCATCATTTCTCCATGATTTTCCTCGATTTTCTCCCTTTCAACCACGCCTTCTGGGTGTTGAAGGTGTTGAACAGCAAGGGGAAGCCATCCTCCATCAGCTGGGCTTCGAGGATCTAGTAACGCTTCAATAACGGTACCCTATGACCAGCTTGTGAAATGCCCATTAGATTCAGTAAATGCCCATGAAATCCATGAAAAAAAACATAAAATGAGGAGTTTACAGGCCTCTAAAAAGCATGAACTTCCAGCACTTCCACGATCTTTGGGGCAGTCCAGGCTTTTTTTTACAGCGGGAACTGGCTTCTTTCATCCAAAATTTTGCTGGTAGATAACCTCACAAGATGGAGCCCCACAGTTATAAGATTGTTTATCTTCGTCCATCCAAGTGCAGATGAATCTGCACCATAAATTACAGTTATTCATAGAAACATGATACAACTAGTTGCAGTATATGCAGTATATGTGATAGATATCTCCAGTTTTGGTAAGTTATAGTTACTATAGTTATTGATCTATTTACCACTGGCGACCCTTCATGGCCCACCGCCGTGTCGTCAGCGTCGCTCCTCCAGGACAAAGTTACCAATGAACTTGGCGACAAACCACCTGAGCAGACGGCTAAGACGGCTAAGAATCAACCAGTCAGAAAGCGTTCATCAAAGATTCATCAATATCATTCAATATCCATCAAATAGTACGGTTGTAAACATAGAATATTCATGAAAATTCAGGAAAAACAAGACCATTCACCGCATTCACAAGTTAGTCACCAGCCCAGTGACACCAGCATATAGGGAAGCCAATCCATCGCATGATACATGGAGTTCATGAAGACCTCACAGCCCTTGCCCTTTGCAGCCTTGACCTGCCGCGGAAAAACAGGAGCAATGACCCAAGCAAATCAACTAGAGAATGGGTACAAATATGAAGAATTATGATTATGTGTATATATAAAATATAATATATATATATAATATATATAATATAATATATATATACTCACAAGTAAGCAAACTCAGTGAGGTACGAACTGTTACTATCCACTGATTTCAGTGGCACCCAAGGAATTTCTGGCCTCCTGCGGCCGGTGCAAGTGGAAAATGTACATGGCAAAGGGCCTCTGGCGCTTCGCTGTGGGATCCATTGAGGTCAGGACTGAGGGATTCACCATGGCCACTGCTCCAAGGCCCTCGCAAGCAGAGGGCATTATAGTAGTAGTAGGCAACCACCTGAATTCCGACACGCCGCAGGTTGTTGCCAGTTCTGTACATCCAAAAATTTGCTGATATCATCCCCAGCCATTGCCAATAATCGTGTTCATGTTTATATATTTTATATGAATCTGGCAGTAAATCCACCATCGACCAACAGTGGTTCGGCAGTGCTTCGGACATTCTTCACGTAATCCCTGTGCCAAGATGTCCGGTATCTCTGGGGTTCGTGTGACCAACCGGGGGCTATTGGTGTTGACCATGTTGACATTGTGATCAAGGCTTGTCCCTTTTGTGAGAAGACCAATAGTCTGGTCATGGATTTTTTTGGGCGATTCAAGTCAGTGGCCAAACTTGCCTTTTCTATGCCTAAAGTTCAACCCCACCCAGTGACGTTCCTACTTTCGCTCACTGGATTCATCCGCAATCGTCAGAGGTCCCAGCTGGCATGCCGCACTCCGTCAGCAGCGCCAGGACGGTGTTGTTCACGAAGAAACCCAGCGGAGCACCTGTGGCTTTTGAAAACCGCGGAAAAATGGTGTGCAACTAACCAAAGGACCAAAGTGGTACTGTACGTAGTATTTGGATGAGTCAATACTGTACCATATTTGGGGCAATGAACATGGGCTTTCCTGGGCTATTTTGTGGTTGGGTACCAAAGTTTCAAACTAAGACCAGTTCCCAGGGCAAATATAGGAGTTGGGATTGCCGTCTTTTTGGAGGTCGTTACCATTCACCAAAGTCTGCCTAGATATTCCCCTGTTGAACATCCCATTTCGGCATGAGACATCCACACTGAAGGACCAAGTCATTCAACTTTTTCTGACCGTGACATCCAGTTGATGGGTAGCCCAGCCGCTGAATCTCATCATTTCCCCCAGCTGTCGGCCATGCTGACGAGGGAAAATTCAGGGCCTCTTGAAGGATCCCACAATTTGTGATCAATTTCATGATGTTTGATGACTGTCAAAATTCAATGAATCATCTGAATTTGGGGGAATCCAAATTTTGATCTGGGGCTCCAGATCCAGGGTAAACCAACATGGCCGTTGGCTCCTTAGGAGCTCAGTGCTGCTCAGTGCTCAGTGCTCAATCCGTCTCCTTGGAGGATCCGGACTCCGAGTCGGAACAGTTCCGGAGGCTCTGATGCTCCGGGTCGTAGGACGGCTCCGCCTTGGAAATCCCAGGTGATGTGGAAGGATATGGGTTACTGAGTTACTGTATAATCTGTGTTTGCATCTTTTTCTTGGAAACCATTGAAAGCATCCCAAAGGAGCACTTGGAAGTATTATATAGTTAATTAATTAACTAATTAATTATATATATATATGATGTGTGTATATATATATATAATGTGTATATACATATATTATATATATATACTGATTGGTGTTTCAGCCACCAACACAAACAAATATGAGTAATCGTTGCGGATCATTATTGGAGTTGCTATGCTTGAAATACTTGATTGAAATTGAAACGATGGCCACCAAGGACAAAATGGTTGACAGGCAGGCTATCCTGGCAGAAACCGCCTTTAACGTGAAAATCATTGGTAAATGGCTGATTTTCCCAGCGATATCCCCCTATTGATTCGGCATCCAGGGGAATACCCGATCGCCGATTGCCTCGCAAGATTTGCAGCAGCAGCAGGCGGCACAGGAGGTTAAGCCCCGGGCAAAGAAGAACTGCAACCAGCACCTGGCTCCAGGATGCTGATCTAATCACCGTGGGATGATCTTCTTTGTTGGTCGATGGTTAGGAGGATCATGGAGGATCGTATTGTATCCCACTTATTCACCCAGAGGATTGACCAAAATTGTCCCAGGAGAGTTGATGTGGATTTCAGCCAGCAAACCACTGGTTTTGACTTGGAGATGGATGAGAACGATATTTTACGTTTCATATCGCTATGGTTTGAAAATGGAGCACCATTGGACATCTTTATCATTTACCTATCCGTTTTGGGGAATCAATAATGTTGAGCCATATCGAAATGGAGTTCTATGGGGTTAGAATTCTCGTCCTGGCACTATCAAATATGGGGTCAATATCCCAACTCCATACCCCCAATCGCTTTAATCTCCAAATAAAACACACGCATTCATAGTCGGATATCAGATTCGTATAGATTCGTATACTATAGCGATTTGGGGGGCAATACGACCCCACTTTTCCCCATTTAGATTCCTATTTTAAGTTAAGCCATTCGTCCCCAATTTTTTAGGCATCCCTCAGCATGGCGAGGGCGCAATCCCATGGGAAGCTTGGCTGTTCCGCGAATGCCCAACACAGCAAAGGCGATCATCAAAGCAAAGCCTGATGTTTCCACTGGGAGGTCTTTCCGGCAACGACGATGGAAAACACAAATTCATATCTACTTACAGATGATTTTGTTCATTAAACAAGTGGAGGAAGGATTTCAAATTACCAGGTTCGATTTCTGGAGCTTTTTAAATCATTGGGGTGATGTTCAATCATCCTTGCGTAAATCTACAAAATCATCTAAAGCAAAATATATTGTATTGGAAGAACAAACCATTAATCATCCGAGTCATCATACTTGACCGTCATAGATGGTAAATGTTCAAGGAAGAAAGCCACTTATGATTGGTGGCTTCCCCCAACGATGTGTAACCCTTCAACCACCAGGAGGCAATACCATTGCAAACCACCCACCTTGCAGTTTTCAGAAAACACCTAAGTGGATGAATAAGTTATAGGTTCGGTATACCCAGTATACCCCAACTATGTGTCGGTTACATACCCCCCACAAACGATGAACCTTGAACCGCCATCCGAGAAGCCAATGTTGGACCCAATGATCCAAATTTTGGAGACTTTGCGCATGGTCACCGTCGGCATGAGGCACAAGCCAACGAAGGAAATCAGCAAAGCTGCCACGATCTTATCCATGACCTTCAGAATAAAGCACCGCTCGTCGATGGAGCGCCTGCAACATGAGTCCCTCAAGCTGCAATGGGAAGCCAATGAACAGAAAATTATGAAATCTATGATCTATGATGATCTACGTACATTTACGTAAAATAAACATAATAATCCTAGGGAAAGATGGTCGGTAACCATAGCGCGCTTTGGTTCCACTATTCTCACAGGGTTCCTTTGCAGCCACTCTAAAAACACCACCCTTTGGGGAGGTTCACCACTAATTACGGGACCACCGGAAAGTGATGTTTCAGTAGTGAAAAGAAATAGGACATATCTGAGAACCCTGTTCTCAGGTCATATCGCTTCCAATTTATCCAACCCCCAACTAGATGATTGATGAAGCTTCAACCAGCATGGCTGACCTCCTCCAGCGAAACGACCTCTTCAGGTCAATTTGGGGTACCAACAAACGACCAATGGACACATGGCTGGTCACTTTTATAGAACAATTCATTTTGACGCTTGCATCATCTGGGGTCCAATGGTACTCCAATACCACAAATCACCTAACACCCAGAAATACCCAGAATATACATATAATTCCTATATTTGTCATACCCACTTTTATCAGTTTGCAGATTCCATCTTTATCAGTTTGCTCCTGTAGATCAGGGTGGCCAAGATCAGGCGCTCCAGAATGCAGATGCTGGACAGCAGCATCCGGAGAAAGTTGCCTCTCAGATAGATGGTTTCCACCACTGCGAAGGTGAAGGTAATGAAATCCACGGGAAACAGCAACACCACACCTGGCGATTTTCTGAAAGTGTTGTTGGGCGTGCTTCCCAGTGAAAATTTGATGATTGTTATTGGGATTGTATGGTTTTGTTGGGGATGTTGCCCAACAAAAGTCACACTAAGTTTGAAGTTGTGATGTTTTTCTACAAATCTGTGGTGATACTTGCTGCCAAGCCGAAATGTAGTTTTGATCTTCCACGATTAGGATCTAGCAAACAAAAATGAGGGCATTGAGTGGGTATAACTAGGGGTGTTTCCAACAACTGGGGGTTTTAGCAACAAAGAAACAAAACTGACATTTTACAACACTCACAAGAAAGAACCAACTGGCAGTGCCCCAAAATGATGCCCCAAAATGATGCCATGGGTGAAAGTATCTCAGCAGTGTTTTGTGGCTTTGGCGTGCAGGTTTGGAGGCTGAAATCGGCATTTGATTTCTTGATATCCTCTTTTTTGGGTGAAATATGGTGAAATATATTCTTGGGAGAAAAATGTCAACGGTGCTTAAGACGCGGCGGCTATCCAATGTTTTCCCCATCTTGTGTTGAACCAGTTGAATCCTGTTTAGTTTTGACCAAAGCACTGGAGGCGACCCCTGAATATGCGGTTCGCTGGATATCAACTCCCTCTCGCGCAATGTCTCGTAAAGCTGGGGTGGACATCCCTGCAGACAGCAGCACATCAATGGCCTTGCAGGAAAAAACCATTCAAAAAACGCTTGGCTCTGCCAAGGAAAATGGTGGAATAATATGCAGAATACGGTTTGATCAACAACAAATAGGACTTCTCTATGGGTTCCGCCAGACATAGGCGGATGTCCAAGGAAACTGTGAAATGTCCCGTTCCAACATCGACATCAATGGGAAACTCACCCGGATTTACAGTTGCGCATCCCAATATCAAATATGTTCAGGATTCTCTTGCAAAATAGATTAAAATAGCAAGCATCCTAAAAATTCATGGGTTATCATCAAATCTCCCGTCAAAATTGCCAATGTTGATCCCCCCATCAGCAAAATCTGCCAATCCAACTGAGGCGGCATAGTCCACCACATCCGATTTGCATCCAATCTCGTGTCGGATCCGTTGCGCATCTTCCGGCTGCGTGCAGTCGGCATAGTGGATCGAACCTCCATTGGGTCCCACACTGCCAAAATGGGAAGAGAATAAGTTTTTAACATAGCTACAAGATGCTACAAGTACATGGGAATCTAAACATAGGGGGTTCTACCCAACAACTCATGTTATGTTGACAATGAGTTCATTTTTGGCCAAGTTCTGGGATCGAAACGTCCATGTTTGATCAGATTCCCATGTTGGTTTTATCTCTGTTAAACCCGTTACAATCCAAAATTTGTTGTTTCAAATCGATTTGCCTCAAGTGTATTTCCTTTTTGGTGATTTTTTTGCTTTCTTTATTTCTCAACCCCATATGTTCCCGTGTTTCATGGTCCTTTTCCTCCACCCAGAGCTAGCGGGCCCCAATGGTTTGTTGAGGTTATAAGGGAACATGACAAATTTAGAAACGTAGTCAGTATGCGGGCCCAATCGACACACTATACTTCCCAAGTTCGGAACAAAAAGTTGTTGGATGATTTTCTGCCCAACGACAGCATTAATTTTCATTCTGTCGTTTAAGTCCCAATTAAAATTCTGTTTCTATCCCCATATAATTTCATATTAACCCAGCTTTGCAACCCAACAGCGAAAGGTTCCAGCAAGGTTCCAGGACTGTTCCGGTTCGGGGCGTGCATTTTCGTGTCACCAGTCACCCCCAGAGATTGAAACCCAACAGATTCGCTGTTGGGACTAATTTTCAAAAATCAAGTCGTTGATTCTATGGGTTGGTAGAATCCTCATCGCCTCGGTATCCCTTCCGCAGTTGTTCTGCTTCCAACGCCGTGCGCTCGGCGTTCACGCGGTCGACCTCCAGCACACAGAATAAGATGGCGGCCGTGAAAAAAAACGCCACGTAGGCCCCGCAGTGGACTTGCCATGGAAAACCCCATTCCTGGCGGGTAACTCAATAAGTCGAGGCATCGGAGAACGGGATAATTGTAGTTTCTACATGTGCATCGCATTGCATTACATGCAGAACGGAAAATCACAACAGAAATTGACGTTTAACAAAACATGCCCGTAAGTAACATAGCATGCAATAACAAATAGAACATGCGTGCGCACCCAGAAACTACACAATACTACACTGCACAACACTACGCCACATCACCCCAACACATTACATCACCTCGCATCAAGCCGCATCACATCACATCACACCACATGGTGCACCTTACATAGATACACACACACACATAGATACATAATATAAAAAAAAATAAGCTTCGGTGGCATCCCCAGCAGCCGCAACGTTTTATTCTTGCAAATCTTTCTGAAGCGTGCTGTGAGGCCAAGCGCTGGACCCTTCTCCGGAACCCGTTGAACCTGACTTGGCTTTGCACCAAGGCGTCCTGGAACCTTCTTCGCTCCAGGACCCTGTTGAACTTCACCTGGCTCTGCACCAAAGCCTCCCAGACCTTCTCCGGA